GTGTTTTAAACTGGAGCTCTCTGTCTTTGTGCGTCAGACAAAGCGTAGACAGGTGAACATAACTGCAGTATTTTTCCCACCGCGCTCCGACCTGACGTCCTGACGCCTGGCTGTCTGTCGTATTCAGCCGAGGTGGTCTATTCAGAGTAAGGGATGTATACATGTGTGTTGGTGTGTAAAACAGAGGGAGGGAGGAGGCGGCGGGCGAGCCACACAGAATGCTTGGTGATGGGTTACCAAAAACAGTGCACTGGGGGACAATGGGACCCAGGACATTCCTGAAATAACCCCAACACATCGAGGAGGAAGTGGAAAGGGCTGGGGGGGTTTATTGGTGTCAGCAGACCCCCAGAAGAGGAGCGAGTGCCTCTTTTGTCCCCTCCGGCGGTGGAGATGCACTGAATCGTGGTGCCTTGCAAAAGGGCGGACGGCCTTCTCAGCACACACACACGCACACACAAACACTCACACATACACACACACTCACCCACACACACACACACAACCAGGCTCTGGAGCAGAACCTCCAATTAGAACATAGACTTAGAGAGGTTAGAGTTGGAGAGAGGCCATGGTCTGTGTGCGTCTGTGTGTGTACGTGTATGTTTGTATGTATGTGTGTGTGTGTATGTAAGTGCATAAGTGTATGTGTGCGTGTGTGTGTAAGTGTGTGAGTGTGTGTGTATGTATGTGTGTAAGTGTGTGAGTGTGTATGTGTGTGAGTGTCTGTGTGTGCGTGTATGCATGTGTGTGTCTGTAAGTGTGTGACCGTATGTATGTGTATGTATACATGTGAGTGTACGTGTGTGTGTGTGCGTCTGTTACGTGTGTGTGTGAGTGTATGTATTTATGCGTGTGAGTGTATGTATGTGTATATATGCGTGTGTGTGAGTGTATGTATACATGTGATTGTACGTATGTGTATGTGTATGTGTGAGTGTATGTATATGTGTGTGTGTGTGTGTGTGTGTGTGTGTCAGCCTGATGCACTTGTCAATAGGATCTATGTAAAGGGAGCTCCAAACCTGATGCTTTTCAGCCCAAAGTGCAGCGGCTCGACCCCTGGGACCAGAGCACTGACCTTGTTAGAATCAGAGACAGCATTAGTGTCATTTAGGAGTGGTTCGTGTTACTCTGAAAGACCACATGATAAGTCACAACTTCTAATACTCTGGGAATGATCCGGACATTTCTGAATTTTCCACAATGTGTTTACCTAAAACTGCCTTCCAAAATAGATAAACAGAGCAATCAACAAAACACTGTGATATCATTTTGAAATCTCTATTCCATGAGGCATATTTAATTAAAAAAAATATATATATAAAGACCGTTCGAAGCCTGGTTTTGGATTGCATTGTAATTACTGGTCCGCCTTGAGTCCTCTTACAGCTTATGCAAACCATATTGAAGGTAAATACCCCTTTTGTCACAGGAAATAATTAGGAAAGCTGACCACTCGGCCTGACAAAGAAGGTTTTCTCCATAGATACCCGAGACTTAAGCCCTAGAGAAAACATCAACACAGCCGTGATTGAAGACTGTCTCTAAATGTCAATATGAGGAGAGGAGAAGAGCCGGGGCCCAGACGTCTACACCTTTAACATACAGATCTGTGTGTTCTTCACCTCTATACTAGTGCATATGGACTTGACAGTGGAGTCTGACCCCTCACCAGCTCCTGCACGTGGGGAAAAAAATCACATAATAAACTAAAGCAATGCTGACATCTAGTGGTTGAAAGAAGCATCCCATGTGTTCAGGTTATAATCCTGGCAGGTCACAAATTTCCTAATCTGGACTACGTTAATGTGTGAGTGAGAGACGTCATTTACAGTGAGAAAAATATGCTTTGAGTCCGGATAAAAAGAGGCAATTCCAACTGTGTGTGTAGATAACAGATAGAAACCTCAGATTTGTAAGGGTAAGATCCAGGACAGACAGTAGGACCCCTCTCTCTTCTCTAAATGATTGCACATTTATCAGTCATTATCCACCACCGTCCTATAAATGCTGCAATCTCTGCCTCCAACTGTACTGATTCTGCCTGATTCCCCGGCTCCCGAGACCTTGGGTGGCATTGCTGCGACCGTGCAATTTATTAGCTAATTGTGAAGACAGTGCCAGATTCCCCAGCTCATGAATATCAAGGCAGAATGAAAACCAGAATGTGCGCGGCATTCCCAGTCGCTCAGAACACACATCGAGTTCAAATGGGAACTTCCAAGCACTTCCAGCTGGCAACACTTTGGGATAATGGTCCTGGATTCCTCACAAATGAAGGGTCTAAATACCACCAGTGAGGTACCTGGACCCCTTCCCTTCATTCATGCATAGCTGGATGTATGTAAAACACACACGTACTTTGAAGCTTTCGGGTTAATCATGCGTAAAAGTCTAAACTAAACTCTAAAGTCAAGAAGCAAAAGAATCCAATTGTCATTTATATTGTAGAAGCAAAAGACAAGCAGATAACGCTGAATGCTTTTGTCTTAAAAGAAGAAATATTATGCATATTTTTGAGCATTAATACAAAATCATAAGACTATTTACTTTGTTTTTGTTTTTTTAGAATTTGAAATATTAACAAAAATGTAAATTATGTTGAAAAGAGTATGAAGGGTAAAAAATGCTTTCTGCCAGCAACTCCTGATACGACCACCAGAGGGAGGAGTTTAAAGTTGTTTTTTTTACCTTTATTTTTTATTTGAAAATGATTGGCCATAAACACAGCCATGTGATTGTAAAGAGCATTTTATCCATCCATCCATCCATCCATTTTCTACCCTTTAATCCATTTCTGGGTCAGGGGGGTGGCAGTCAGAGATGCCACCCAAGTCTCATAGCACCAGCCCCTCACTGACCCTCTGCAGGTGGTGAGTCCACAGGAGCATGGATGGATGGATGGATGATTGGCCATAAACACAGCCATGTGATTGTAAAGAGCATTTTATAACTTGAGAAATTGCCAAAACGTATTGGAACATATTATAGATTCAAAACGGCTGAGTGTGATGTCATAGTGGTACAATGACATCACGCTATGACAGGACTGAGACGGGGGCTTTAAGACAGAAGGGGCGGAGCTACATGTTTTAGCCAGAATTTCAATTTATTAGCATGAATGGATCTCAAAACGGATTGGTTTGAAGCCCCAAACAGTTGGTGCAGAATTTGCCTTCTTTACCACTAGAACTTCATTTGACGGCCATTAGTTACCATAGCAACACATTTTTACTATCAGCAATTAGCATATAGCCTTTGAACAAACTTTTTTATTTTTTGCTGTAATTAAAAAAACACACTAAAATGACTTACTTTTAATAAATAATGGTGAAAAACTAAAACGTTTTTTGGGGTAATTTTTCTGGATGTTATTGTTTTGAACGGGAGCAGTCAAAATGGTTCTGTAAGTTTCAGATTTCTGGGAGTCTAGAGTTAAAACAATGTCCGTAAAGTTATCTACTAGTTTGTGGTGGTGGAAGGAGCTGATGGCACAGACTGGTTGCCTCGCTTCTGTCAGTGTGCCCCAGGGCAGATGTGGCTACAGTGTACAACCTTCGGACAGTGGCTCAGTTGGTAGAGCCTTTGAGAGTCCTTCTCCACCTACTCCCACTGATGTCTGCTGCTGTTGTGTCCTAGGGCAAGACACTTAACCCCACTTTGCCTGAAGCCCCCACTGAAAGATCAAGGCTATACTCTCACAGACAAAGCAGCCACCCTCCCGACCCAGAAATGGATAAACGGGAAGAAGAGAGGGATGGATGGATTATATTTGACCATGTATGTGATATCGGATCATTCCCAAAGGCACACCAAACAACCTGCCACGGGACACTAAGATGCCACGGCCCACAGGTTGACAAACACTGCTTTAGAGAATGATGGATGGGTCATTATGATGACCCATCCAAACAAAAGCATGTGCCCGTTTCAACAGCGAATGAGGACTTTAGCAACTTTTCTGTGAATATTTCTCGCGCCCGGTTC